CAAGGACCCAAGTTCGATCCCTGGTACCAGAAAATAAAAGAAATGCTCTTATCCAGCAAATACTAATGAATAAGGCTTATAAGCCAGGTGTGGTGGCACATGCCTGTCATCCTAGCACTCAGGAGGCTGAGGCAGGTGGATCTCCAGGAGTCCAAGGCCACCCTGGGTGTCACAGTGAGTTCAAGGCCAGTCTGGACTACACAGTGAGACCTGTCTCAAAATTTTAAAAAAAGAATATGGCTTATAAAATGTGTTACTTTAAGGAGACAAAAATTTCAAAGACAATGTGCCTTGCTCATTAAGACAATCACCATAGAAAAATTCCTGTTTGCTAAGCACAAAAATGCAAAGAATCATTGTGAAATCAGCAAACTGCAGTAATCAACTGTGAGTATTTCCTTGACATTATCAACTACATAATGAGACAGGACTTGTGGTTTACATAGTCTAAATTAGCTATCATTTCTCCACCACCCTGATTTAAAGCATAAATTAACAGAATAGTCACTGTGACAGGGCTTACCCATCATCATTTGCATCTAATCAGTTAATGACTGGCAGCTGTCTAAGGACCCATTACTGGAGGCAGTGGTTTTAATGTATAATGCTTCATGAGGCTTAAAACCATATCTGTCACAGCACATGCTAGACTGAAATACTCCAAAATTTGCAAAGGCTTTGAAAGGGAGAAAAACTTAAAAACTAACTAAATCTGTAATCTCAAAAAGCCTTCTAAAAAGCTCACATTAATGGGTTTCTAATCTTTTGCTAGGCTCAAATAACATAATAAACCAAGAAAAATCTGCCTTAAGGAAAACAGTGGCCAGTCTTGTGTAGCCAGAATAATTATTAGCATGTTATAAACAGAAAAAATAAGGAACTTAGATCGAAAGTGTTTCCCTGCATCAAAATGGAAGTACTCCTGGAATCCTCAAGTAACTCTACTTCCAACTTAATCATTCTTACTATGAAACATCTCTCAGTACCAAGTACAGAAATAGCGTACTATTTCACACCTTTGCCTTATTTTTCATCCATGTACACTCTTTTTCTAACCAAACTTTAATCTCCTTTAGGAGGACAAAAACTAACATTCATTATTCAACGTATCCTTCCCTGAATGCCTTTGATCTATCAAGCACTGTCATTTCTGCATATATGGCATCATTTTAAAAATGCCTGCCTTCTTCCATTCTATGTTTTAGTCTATAGTGACAAAGCATTCAAGAAACACAGAAACACAGAAACAACAGCATGTCAAATAGTGCTTGGAGAAACATGAATAATGGAAAGAGGGTAGAGAATGTTGGATAAGGAAGAGGCTGTAGCAGGGTAGACAATTTTATAAAGCATCTCACAGATCATGCAAACCAAAGAGCTGAGAAGACCACAGTGAGACTTTCTGAGGAAACACATTCCAACAAGAAGCAACAAGGACAAAAGATCACCTGGCACATAGAGGGCACGTAAAGGGACAAGCAGGGCTGGAGTGGAGGACAGGAAGGAAAGGCTAGTAGTTGGACAAGGTCTTGCTTTACTTTGAAAGAAATGAGAAGGCAGTAGCATCCTGGGGGCAGTGGAATCCTACACATATTGTCATGTTTCAAAGGGGTCACAGAGCTGCTGAATAAGTGATATAACAATGGAAGCAGTGGTTCCGGTCATACAGTAAGTAGGCTGGGCATCTCATCACTCCTACCCTTACAAAAACAAAAGCTAAAAATCAATGACGTGTTGGAGTCATCAGTGAGCTGCAGTCACAGGGCCAACCACCACTCTGAAATTTGGAAAAATAGACAAATCTAGAGTCACAGCAGAGGTGAGGTTGACAGAAGCTGTTAAGAACAATTAAATGCTAATTTTCACTAGCTGCTTTAGCTCTCAACATTAAGAGCCAAGAAGATACTGTAGGACTCAGGCAAGGTGAGGGGAAGAATAAATCTTACGGAATCCGTCCAGAGCATCCTCCACCCAAAGACCTACTCTCTAGGAAAGACCTTACCAAAGCCTTGTCCTAAGGCTGAGAGGGAAGAGTATCCTCACATTCCAGCTGCTTTTAGCTTTCCTGTCTCAATATGAAAGGCAACAGAGGAAAAGCAAGAAGCACTTGTGGTCATCTCAGAGAAGCTGAGATTTGCCTGTGAGACACTAGAACACCTCCACCACACTTTACTGCCACACTCACATGGCATCAGGAAAATAATAGCAGATCACTGCTGAAAGACATGCAAACAAAAACTCACAGTCCTCACAGAAGATCCAAGTCAACAAAAGACACAAAGACAAAAACAAACAACAGCAAAAACCAATCAAGGATATCTGATTCCTAGGACTATAGCAAACATTAAATGCTGTCCAACTGCTAATCTGGTTAACATAAAACCTCACATTAAATCCTCAGTTTGTATACAAAACTCATCATGCCTGACTTGAAATAAAAAATTTACAAAGCATGTGAAAAGGCAAGAAAATAGAAGCTGAGAGATCAGCTAAGAGAAAAATAACACACAATCCATATCAAAGATGACAGTGGCTTGGGTAATGGTGGTAGTAGTAGAGCCGGTAAAAAGTGGTCAAGCTCTGGAGGTATTTTTGAAGACAGAGCAGATAATTACTGATGGAATGGTACTGGGGTTGGGAAAGGAGGGAGGCGGCATGGATGACGCCCAGGGCTGCTGGGAAAAAGGAGTTGCTGTCAACTGAGATGGTAAAGGATATAAGTAAAGCGGCTGGGTGTGACACAGGCTAGGAGCTGGTTTCAGAAATTCAATTTTTCGTGTCTCGAAGGAGCTACCATAACACTGGTCAGTTATGCACTCATCTACCTAATAATATTTTTGGAGTGCCTAAAAGCTATAGCACTTCTCAAGCATTAGGAAGGAGACATGAAAACACATTGGAAACCAAGGAAATTCTTAGTAACTGTTTGAGTACACAGATGAAGAAATGACAGAACACATTTAACCATGTCACTGAGATATTGTACCCAGAATTTTAATTGAGAGCAGCAATAACACCAAGGCTAAGGAAGACTTAGGAGTTTACAAAATGCTTGTCACCTACTCCAGGAGACATCTACTTACACCCTGGGATCTGAGTAGCAACCATTCTCTTCCTTCAGAGTAATACAATTTGGCTGGGTACTTGATTTCCCAAAACAAAGATAACAATTCCCAGCCCTCCTTGCAGTTAGGTGTGGCTAACAATCTGGAAGCAAACATGTTGTGTGTGGTTTCCTTGATACCTCTTAGAATGGGCACACCCACAGCTTGTTCTTTCCCTCGCTCTTCCTGTCAGCTGAAGTGCTGAAGTGATAATGAGCCATCTTGGACTACATGCACAGGGTAACACCACTGAGATGGCAGGGGAACAAACAAGAAGGAGCAGGGACCCTGAAAACCCAGGGCGCCATCTTATCTGTGCTCCACATGCTTAGACTGTCACATCAAAGCATATAGCTTCTATCTTATTTAAGCCCCTTTTATCTTAGTCCTCTGTAATAGAGGCTGAGCCTAAAATTAACTAAATAATTTAATAAATCCTCAGAACAACACTGTGATACAAATAAAATGCTGGGGCAGGGAGCTGTTTTAATTCCTTACCACTTTATTTTTTTAAACGACAGAACTTAATTTGGCAACATAAACTTCTTCGGTATACTTGCATCTATTAGTGGAGAAAAACTAGAAGAAAAGCATTCTGCAAAAGCCAACTGCAACAATTTTTAACTACAGCAAGACTTGGGTTCAGACATTCAATAAACTGCAGTATTCACTGCCTAGAAAAGCCACATGGCAATGATTTCTCCAACTTAAGGAATTACATGCTATTGTACTAGCTCAATTAATGCTCTACTTTCCATTAAAAGCCTTTCAATCTATTACACATTATAACTACAAACAATCAGTTCCTTTGCTTAAAAAAATGTGTAGTTGCCCACTGAACTCTTGACTTAATTTGTGCTCAGCAGACAAGGATGCCAAAGTTACTTCTGGGTATCTAGATCTTTGGATGTATATTCTGATGGAAATCAGCAGGTCATTTCCATATTTTTAGAACACTTTCCCACTTTCAGTATTTGGATACTAACACAGAATTGTGTTGCAAAAACTAGGAAAATCCCAGTTCAACTGCTAAATAAGCAGCCATAATTTAAAAAACAAATTAAAAAAAAGTGCTTATGAAGAATAAGACTATCTGGTACTTTTACTGTGATATTTCTTCACTAAAAATGTAGTTGTATTCATTCAATCATTCTCTAGTTTCCATCATCATTTTAAATTCCCTAAACCAGAGTAACACACTGTAACAACTTTTGCCTATTCACTTTTGTTTCAAAGGAAACTAATTTCTATTCTGGCTATCAATTCTGATATTTGCTAACATAATTTTGTAAGCCAAAAACAATCAAGAAAGACATAATCAATCTTCTCATTCTATAGTAAAAAGTTTATTCTCCTAAGTGACTTAGGAGCTCTTAAGTAAAAGGGTACTAACTGGTTGGAAATACCCAGATTTAACCACTGCAAAGCTAACAGTGACTCATCCCACAAGTGTACCCTCTGACATCTGGAGACACAATACCAAGATTCAGAAGTAGCCTTACCTGCAACTGGAATGATATTTCCTCAAGGTACACTTAGAAAACAGAAAAGCTACAGCATACTTCAGTGTGATAATCCTGAATTTCACTACATTATGTCCATTACCAATATTTTTAAATGGGAACCAATCATTTTTCTAAATTCTTAATGACAGTTAATATTTTTAAACAATACTAGTTCTCATTCTTCTGGACACATAAACAAGAAAATATTTCCCTATTACAAGTACATAATGCTAGATATGACTCTAAATTGGGTTGTACATCTCTTAAAATATAATGAATGAAAGATATAGATATTGCATAAAGGATTTCTTCTGCAACACTGTGATTTAAGGCAAGAAGCAAAAAGGGTGAAAGCATAAACTCTCCAGTCAAAAACATGAAGTAATATTACCTTTAGCTGGGTTTACTTTTATCCCAGACCTATACAGCATTTCCTCATTCTGCCAGTCTCCATTCCTGATGACAGTCTTGAGTCCATAGAAAACAATTAATGTAGCTGTAGCATAAAAAATCAAGCTCTTGAGAAACCGCTTTTGGACTTTGACATAAAGGGCTCTGGCACCCACTGTAATCAGCAGGCAAAAGCCCATACTAGGAATATATAATACTCGCTCTGCAATTACAAAGCCAACATAGAAAAACAAGTTCGTAGCAGGAAGAAAGGGTATTACCAACAAAGATAAAGACAGAACAACAATGTTCTCTGTAGAAGGGAGCTGTGTTGTCTGTGATACATTATTTTTAATGCCATTTTCTGCTTTGGAGGCAAAGCTGGGCTTAATCTCTGAGTTCCGGTACTCCACATCTGAATGGCAGCTATGTCCATTAGCATTCTGCTTGCCATTTGTGACAGCTTTCCCATTGTATTCTCTTTCTAAGCTTGGGCTCTTCAAACCATAGTAGGCAAGGAGGAGGAGTCCAGTATAGAAGGCCACAGTGTGTAGGTTTCTCCAATCACAAATTGTTTTCAGCAGAGGCACGGCATCCATGGACCAATCAAAACTGAGGGTATCTGGACAGAGCAACAACCAGAGGTTCTTGGTTGGCAAATAGAAGAAGGTAAGCGCACGAGCCAGGAGGCTATCTGAATCTGCGGCTGGGTTGTCTGAGTTGGAAAAGCTTGGTGGTTTGTTTCCCATCCAGTATAACCGGGCTCCCAAAAGGGAGGTCCCCCAGAAAGTTAACAAACTAACGCTGAGAAAAAGAGACAAATTCTTCCTCTGAAACCAAAAGAGAGAAAAAAATAAAAATTATCATTAGTACAGCAATGGGAACATTTCACTTAGTATTAAGAGATGAAATGTATCTTTAATGAACAGTTAAAATATATCATTATGTTTCAAACACATGACTTCATTTCCATTTTAAGTATGCTTTACCCTCAAAAGAACTGTGGAATCCTAGTCTGTATATGATTTTTCATGAGTATCTTTGCTTTCCTCTTTTTTCTAAAATACCAATAACCAAAACTTTAGTATCTTTACCTCTACAAAACGGGTTCAGTGTATTTTCTGCCAGACTTGTGTCAGGGCAAAATGATACCACAATGGTACAGAACTTAGCACTGTGTGAGATGCAGTAGAGACCTAGTAACTGCCCTCTTTTCACTTTACAGATTAGATTGAGGGGCAAAGAATAGCCATGTAAAAAAATACAGGGTATGGCAGGATTTTGCTCAGATTCAAGGTGGTAAGAGAATTTAGCTAGTCTTCATTTTATTGTTTTGAGTCTCCTTGCAGAACTGATAAACCTGGCACCTGTGGGTCACCTCATGCTGTCACTGACCTCAGTGATACCCAAAATTTAGTAACACTCCTCATGAGAACCCCAAATTGTTCATGTGGATGACAACTTTTCAAAATAAAATGACTTTAATAATAGATTTATTTTAAGAGAAAGAACATCTTGAGGGGAAGGTCACAGGACACCTACGTTCATGAGAATGTTTTGGAAAACACCTCTAACCTGAGCAGGCACGGAGTGACTTCTGAGGATTCATATCCTGAAGAGGCAGAGGGAGGAGAGGAAAGGATGGACACCATCAACCCAACTAGAATGACTCTCTGGCAATCATTCTAATATAGTATAGACCAGCTTACTTGATTCAGAACAGCAGTTGAAATTTTACCAAACATTCACTAAATATTGCATTTATTTTTGGTACCAGGGATCGAACTCAGGACCTTGCGCTTGCAAGCCAGGGGCCAGAACCACTGAGCTAAATCCCCAGCCCATTAAATATTGCATTTTTAAAAGCTCACAAAGCACAGTATCTCTTTAAGACATACAATTTCTATTAAAGCATTCTTGTGTGTTGCATACAATTGCTACACTGGAATCTTCACAAACTCCTTCTCATCTACCCTCATCTAACTGATGAAGGCCAAAGCACTCTCCTCTACCTCTGCCTGCTTCAATACTTATGAACTCTGCAACACTCATGACTTTCAACATTATTAATATATGCTAATGACTGACTCCTTTCACTGCCATAGCCAGTGAACTGCCTAGTAAGCATATTCTCTTGCGCACCTCAGACTCAAAAGCCACAAAACAGAGCTCTTGTCTCATCTTCCCCAAACTAATGAAAACAGTTTCTGTTCCAATTATCACTAGCCTCAGAAAATGGTAATGCTATGTAACCAATTTCTTCTTCAGAGTCTCTTCCTTCCTTCCATAATCCATTCATTAGCAAGTACTATATTCCAAATCTTTCTGTCTGTTCATCTCTTTTTGTCCTTGTTCTAATCCAAAATGCCAAAGTGGGAACACCACAATGTTCTTCTAACTGGGACTCTGACCTTTAAACACAAATTACATTATTTCTCAATTTTAAACTCATTAAAGGAATCTTACCTTAAGATCTTGGAAGTTTTTCTCTCCATCCTCACTCCCACAAAGTCTGTAACTCATTTAATTTTTTTTACATTTCTTCCCCTAGCCTCAATATTTTTAAAAACACTCACACCAGACTTTTGCTCAATTAATTCATTAAATACACTGTTGGATTCTTAATGGTAGGAAGAGTAATATCACATTCTGCTATCAGTAATCTTTAACTTCCTGGTCTGTAATGGCAAAATGAAATGTTGTAAAGCCTCACTATTATCTAAGAATAACCTTGCAAACCAATTAATTGCTCTTTTAAAATTCTATCCAGCAAGAGCCCTAAAATTTCTTGAATTCAGGAAAAAAATAAAATTACATAAAACCATACTTCAAAACTTATAATAACTTCGTAACTCACTAACTCAGTCATATAATTAACCACTCTTAAATTGCACAAGGGAGATATATATAAGAAAGATAGATAGATAGACTATATATATATATATATATATATTTGACAAAGATAATTGAAATAAGACATGATCGATAAAAAGCAAATTCTGAATTCTGTACCAACAAATCATTTTTAAAGCATGACTAAGACCATTCCATAACAACAGCTTGAGATAGGAGTGAGTAGGGAGATAAGGAGAAAGAGAAAATACATTATGATAAAAAGGTGTAATCAGGCAAGAGAAACAGAAAGGCAAGAGAGCCATAAGTGGGAGGGAAATGTGGTCATGCTTCTTTGCTAATCATGAAACTCCAGAGGAAGTTAGCCACAACAATTAAATAAACTGATTTTATTTCCACAGATAGAAATGTCCTATCAGGCAAAACTACCTTAGTCATTCATTAATTTTAAATAATAGCATCTTTACTAATTAATCCAAGTTTAATACTTATCAAAATAAAATACTGAGATTGAAGATATGATAAAAATTACTACAACATGTGTAATGCTGAAAGAATATTTAAATACAATGAACTATAAAATAGATATAAGGAATAAACCATTCAATAATAAATATCAGAAGTCTAAGTAATGAGAAAATGATATAAAATGACACACAATAAATAGGTAGTTAATTCATGTAGTACTATTCATTTTATAACATTTCAATAAACAGTTTCCCATTTAAATAACTGACATCATAACTCAGAGTAAAAGTTCTGATATAAGATGCTGTCATACACTCAGGATAACAATATCAAGGTCTAGAAGAGTTACATACATGCCACTATTAAAGAGAAACTGAAACAATAAATTGATGTAGAAATGTTTACAGTAGAAGAGATTCTAAGGCCTATGATCTACTACTACTTTTCAACAATCAGCCTGAATTTTACATTGTAACTTTCAAATTTCTTTAATGCCTTTCCATAGAATTTTGTAAAAACAAACAAAAAAATCATCTACAAACACTGGGATTTCAATTAAATCAAATCTCTCTTCTAATCCCATTTAGTGAACCTGAGAATCTTTTCTTTTTAATCCTGTTTGTAAACCCTAAAAAAAGGTTTCATTTCTAATTTAGTCCCTATACTCTAACCAACCTATGGGCAAAATCAAATTAGCTCATTTTTCTCAAGCTACAGCTAGGAGCCAAGTAATCATACAATTTGCCTTAGAGTTTCCTTGTGCTTGGCTCGGTGTATCAAACCAGTCCAACAGAGGAGTTTCTGAGATGTGCGTATAAATAAGGAAACACCATCCCAATGAACTGACACCAAAGACCTGAAGGTTAAAATTAGCAAAATCCACACAAAGAAGGTGAGACTTCAAAGTGTGACAAGCTTAAACATGACTTGAGTACAACCTGTAATAGGGAGCAGTGGACAAGAACTGCAATTCAGTAGTTTAAAGCTAAGGCATAATTATTTCACTCAACACACGGTTAAGGCTGGTGTATCAAACAGGTACTTCTCTACATACTGGATATGCACCTGCCAAAAGAAAGATAAGAGAACCCACTGTGTTCCTGGAGGTTCACAAAAAACACTTGCAGAGAGGAGTCACGGTGTCTCAAAAGACGGTTTTCAAACCTGAAAGTCTATTCTCAACAACTGTGAGCTTTTAAAAATATTACTGGCCTGTTTCAGTAAAATCTGTTGGTGAATGCAACGTGCCCTGAGCTGTGAATCATCCGTACCTGCTCAAGTCTAATTTTTTTAGTACTGACACCGAAAATCCTGTTGGAGTCTGACTTTCATTTCAGAGTTTTAAGAGGTTTTCCTCATTTTATATAAATAAACCATAATGAAACCAAAATAATGCTTTCATTCAGGTTCTGAGACAAATTGAATTTGCACGAAGAGTAAATGACTGTTATGATGACCAAGCTACAGAACAGTTGAAACCATTATAAAAAGTAGAATTCAGGGGCCGGGGATTTAGCTCAGTGGTTCCATGGCCTGCCTCACAAGTACAAGGTCCGGAGTTCGATCCCTGGTACCAAAAAAAAGTAGAATTCAGTGTTGAAATAGTCAAGTCGTATTGCAACATACAGAAGATAGGATTTGCTTCCAGAATTTTGTGGAAAAAAAAAGTCTTGGGCTGGGGATTTAGCTCAGTGCTTCCGCCACCTGCCTCGCAAGCACAAGGACCCAAGTTCGATCCCTGGTACAAAAAAAAAAAAATTCCTAATCATAAATCATGAAAGACTGGACTCAAACCTGCAATACTTTTCCCTTAATCCTGAAAATGCTGGAATTATAAATGTGCGCAGAGTACGCCACTGCACTCATCTAATGAAATAACAGGGATTAAAAATACTGATAGGATACACACCTATAATTTGAGTACTTGGGAGGCAGAGGACTACATAGTTCAAAGCCAGCCTGAACTACATAGAGAGCCCACCTCAAAAGCAAAACAAGTAAAAGCAATAAAAAGGAGTAGGGCTGACGATGTAGCTTAGTGCTAAGAGTTGCCCTGGGCTCTATCCTCAGTACCACAAACAACAACAACAACAACAACAAAAACTTAGTAAGAAATTCAGAGAAAAGATAAATATCTAAAAATATGCTCAAGATTGGAAGCTAAATAAAATTGAAGAATACATTTCAAATAAATTGACATGAAAAATGATACAATTAAATATAAATAAATGTCTCTGAAATTGTGTAAAAACAGGAACAAGCACTAATTGTTGGGAAAATATAAATTGTACAGCTTTGGTGGGAAATTTAGAAGTATATAGTAAAATTAACAAATTATATTACCTATGATTTGACCATATGCATTTATTACATACATACTAGTAAAACTTCATAGGTCTAAGTAGAAGGACAACTAATGCAGTGGGTTGTTTGTTTTAGAGAGTTATTTTGGTTGTTTCATAGTACTGGAGAATGAACCCAGGGCTTTTGCCTGGAGCTACATCCCCAG